TCTGCTGTCCCACTTGCTTCACAGAACTACTAGCCTCCTCCATTGCTCTCCACCAATATCTCCACTGTTTTGACAACATCCCTAGGCATGCAACCCTCCAGGCTCTGTTCCAAATAAAATCGGTTCTCCTCAGGCAGAGCCCTGGAGCTCTTCATCTTTTTTTTTTTTTTTTTAATGTGGTTAGTTTTTATTTATAATTTATTTATTTTCAAGCCTACAGCACCAGGTAGTCCCCCATCCAAGTACTAACCAGGCCCTACACTGCTTAGCTTCCGAGCTTAACTTCTGAGATTGTAGGAGATCCAGTGCGTTTAGGGTGATATAGCCGTAGACCTGGAGCTCTTCATCCTTATGGCCTGCCTTTCCTCTGGGTAAACTGTTGTGCCTTTGCACCGAAACTGAGAGTGAGGACCCTCTTTTTCTGAGAATGATACCCCTGCTCTACAAGTGAGTCCTGAGGGAGGAAGAAATGGTGTTCTTGGTATTCTTGGCTTGCCTCTCCTAGGGTAGAATCTATCTGAAAGTTGGGCGGGGGAGATCGAGCCCCTTGGATTCTTGGCCAACCCTGTCTGCGGTAGAGCTTAGTTCCTATAAGTAGGGGGAGGCCCTAGTCCTCTCAGCCACTCTTGCCTGGAACACAGCTTCTGCCGTAAAGAGCTGGAGATGATAGAAATACTCGGAGCCTGCCCCTCCCACGGTAAAACCATAGCCCCAGACACGAGTTGAGTGAGGGGAGAATCTTCATCTCCTTGGCCACATCTGCCCAGAGTAGAGGGCTCAGGGAGGCAGCACGTCTAGAACGTGAAGCTATGGGGGCAGAGGGGTTAGGGAGGACATAGTTCGAATGTCAGACTGGGCTGATCTTATATTCACTAGATTTTCTTGAATGACTATTTCTCCATTTGCTATATGTCCTTAGGACAATTTCCAGAGATTTTAAGTGATTGTGGTTTTGTCTTTCTCAAAAACATTTTCCCTATTTTGTTTTGCTGGGGAGGATTTTCACTGAGCTCTTCACTCCGTCACTCTGGAAGTCCACTCATCTGCCATCCTGGCATGCTTTTTGGAGTAGGAGAAAAAAAGAGCGCATGTGTCACTAGTTTGCTGGGCATGATATCTACTTTTTGACACACCCTGGGCATGTGGACTGTGTCCAACTTAATTTCAATGCCATGCCACTCAGGTACTGAGTGACTATAAATTCAAGCCATTTGTCTTGTTCTGTGTGTACCAAAGTGGCGCAGTTAGTTTTGATTTCATTTCTCTCTTTTAAAAATTTTTTTAAAAATTAAATTAATTGTGGTGACATTGTCTATTTAATAAAATTATATAGGTTTCAAGTGTACATTCAATAATACGTCATATGTATATTGCATTGTGTTCACCACCCAAAGTTAAATTTCCTCTCATCACCATAGACTTGACCCCGCCTTTACCCTTATCTACCTCCTCCCTTCCCCCTTTCCCTCTGGTAACCACCACACTGTTGTCTGTGCCTATGAGTTTTTGTTGTCTTATTTGTTTGTCGCTTTCAAACATGATTCTCAACCCTTTCTATCTAATTTCACTTAGCATGATGATCTCCAGATCCAACCATGTTGTCGCAGATGGCAGTATTTCATCTCTTATGGCTGAGTAATATTCCATTGTATATACTTACCATAGCTTCTTTATCCAATCATCTATCGAAGGGTACTTTGGTTGTTTCCATGTCTCGGCCACCGTGAACAATGCTGCAGTGATCATTGGGTGCATATATCTTTACGGATGTTTTCAAATTTTGGGGTTACATGCCCAGAAGAAGGATTGCTGGGACATATGCTAATTCTATTCTTAATATTTTGAGAAACCTCTATACTGTTTTCCATAGTGACTATACCAATTTGCATTCCCACCAGCAGTGTATGAGGGTTCCTTTTCCCCCACAACCTCTGCAAAGTTACTTGTCCTGTTGATGATAGCTATTCTAACAGGTGCGAGGTGGTACCTCATTGTGGTTTTGATTTGCATTTCCCTAAAAGCTAGTGAAGCCTAATAGCTAGTGAAGTTGAGCATCTTTTCATGTCTGTTGGCTACTGGTATGTCTTTTTGGGAGAAGTGTCTATTCAGGTCCTCTGCCCATTTTTTTCTGATGAGTGAAACATGAGTTCACTTTTTCAGTCTGGGTTCAGTAAAAGATTCAGAGAAAAAGTGTTTTATCTATAAGTTTCTTCCAAAAAACTAAAATTTTCACAAATCAAATCAGCTTTCCCATTCAAATTTCAGAGCTGTATTTACATGGAGAGCCTCTGGTTACACTCAGACTTTTAAGAATGCAGCAGAACTTATTTTAAATATCGAATAATTTAAGAAAAATAAAAGGTCCTAAGAATATAATTCTGTAATCTTCCAATATATTTTTCTCACAGAAATTTTAGAACGGGGGGAAACATCTTTAAAAGGGTTTGGGTTCTTTTAGGCTCACAGGGAAACTGCCTGGTCTCTCTGTAGGTCGCATTAGAGTGTGTTCCTTCATTGTATTACCCAAAATTTTCATAAATTTTGCCATATAGTCACCATTTTGTTCTGTTTATCACCTGCACTTATTCATTTAATGTTTTTTCTTTCGAATACATTTTAAGTATTTCATTCTAAATGTATTCATTTTTAGAGCAAACATTTTATCACTGGTACAAATAACCAGTTAATAAATATGGTGAAAACAAACAGTTAAAAATCCTTGTTAGATCCTGTTAAAGACTCAGAGCTTGAGGCCTGCTTTCTAGGTGAAAGAGAGAGAGAGAGAGAGAGAGAGAGAGAGAGAGAGAGAGAGAGAACTATGCAAGTAAGTAGAATGAGATTAGCCGCATTTGATTAGTGCTTACCAGCACTAGGCACTGTCATGAGCACTTCACACATTGTGTCTCATTTAACATTCATAACTGTATAGGGTAGATTTTCTCCATTTTACACATGAGGAAGTTGGAGCACAAGATAAATAGATGACAAAGCCAGGATTCAAACGGAGGCGGTCTGGAGTGAGTGCTCTTAACCACCGTGCCAACCTGCCTCCTACTAACATGAAAGGCCTACAAAGAGAAGTGATTCCCTATCCTTTGATGCTATGTCTGCCTCTCGGGTTGCAGTGGCAGGCGTGTTCTGTATGTACTTTGGGTCTCGGAGGATGTCTACAGATGACTCTTGGGAAAGGCTTCCTTTCTCACACATGTGAAAATGCTGCACTTTTTATTCCCTTTTGGATACTCATAATGTATATTGACATCTAAAATGTTCTGAGTCCTGTGGCAAAAACTCTTTTAAGCTTTAATGCAGCATTTTTCAAACTTACATGATCTCAGAAGTCTTTTGCAGAGGAACAAGTCTTAGTGTCTCAGGAGACACAAATATTTCATGGAGCAGTTTGGGAAACAATGAGTTATTTTTCATTCAAAAATATTTCATGTATATAAAGATGAAGAAGATATTTCTCACTTGCATTTGTATTCAAATAGGGTTTCTGTTACCAGGTGAATTTCCTCATGCTGTCAAACCCAGATAACATCAAAGGGTCATCTGATTTATAAAGCCTCTTCCAGGAACTCCATGTCCCCTCCCTATTCAATGCAATAGCAGCAAGTTCTACCAGGTGATGTCACTCCTGGTTTCCAGTACCAGTGGGTGACATAAGTAGGCACAGGCAAAGGAAACCTTGGGCTTTTGAGTGCAGCACCTGAGCAACTGCCTTTGTATTAAAGCAAACCTGGAATCTACCCCAAAAGCCCACAATGAAGTAGGAGAAATAGGCTTGGGAGACAGTGACATGTGTGAAAAATCAGGCATTCTAATTGTCACCAGATGCCTGCTCACCAATTTTAAAGAACTCCAAGGTACTTGGTAAGGGAGCTATGACTTCTGTTCCTCGTGCTGTTCACCAGGAGGGACAGCAGGACCCAGCATTTTGCCTTATGGCACCCAGTTCTAAGAGCAAGCCCATCCGCACTATTCTTTGGAAAATTCTGACCACCACATGGTTTCAACTTTTCCATTGGCAGAGATATGTTTGGATTCATGGCCCCCAGTAGCTCCACCGACCTTCTCAGGAGTCTTATAGTGAGGCCCTCCTGGCCAAGGGGCCTTTCTTCCCTGTGCCAATGCCCCAGCACCTCAGAGTGAGACTTTTCTGCTCCTGTTCCTTCCCTAGAGGCTGTGGCTTCTGCACCAACCAAGCAGCCACACTTTTCCTTTCCTTATTTTCTCAACTGTCTTTTAAAAAGAGAGAGAGAAAAAAATAAAAACACCAGGAAGAACAAAGGCTCTGGTCCTGGTCCTGGCGGGCCAGCTCTTTCAGCCTGTGAATACAGACACCCACCCCCGCCACCTGCCCCACCGGGGCAATAGTTACAAGGTGGTGGCAAGAATTTCTGCAAAGAGCCCTTGAAAAAAAGATCAGGAAAAGAGAACTTGCAAACCTGTCATAAATTCATAAGCTTTGGTTTAGGAGTATAGCAGATCACTGAAAGAAAGGATCTGACTTAAGACACCACAGCCAATATATTCAGGAGCTGAATCTCCAGTCTGAAAACACTGGCAGAGATTTAAACAGATCTCATCAATTTTCTTCTTGGGGACTCATTTCCAAAACAGAGCTGCCACCATCCACCTCCCATAGCTCAAACGTGACTTAACTAAAAATGTATAATCGTTATTCATTAACTGATAAAATTGAAACAAACAAACAAAAGCAAGAATAACTAAACTCTGGTAATATAATTGCTTAACCATTTGTATTTTTATTGACCTTAAAAAAAAATTTTTTTTTCTGCCCAGTTACGACAATTAAATGGGAAACCGCAATTACAATTCACAAACTGTGGCATGAAAAATAACACATACCTCATCAGGAATGACACCAACCCTTTTCCATTTTTATTCATTCAAAAGAGTCCACCACTCAAGTATCAAATCTGAGCAATGTCATTTCTTTCTTTCTTGGAAGGGGGAAAAACATTTATTCTGGCAGCACTTTTACAATTCCAGGAAGTAGTTTTGATACCACAAGTTGCAGGAATAGAAACGATAACAAACTTGGAAGGCTTTTTTTTTTTTCTTGCGAGGCCAGGGACTAATGGCTGGAAGACTCCCCTTGTGCTCAGTGAATTGCCTGTCAGCCTCGGCTGGCTGAGTCTTCCCAGGTGTCGAAAGAAGAATTTCACTGCATAGACAGTGAAAATTCCTGTAGAGCAGAGTGTTTTCTGTATCTCCGACCCTTCCTCCACCCTGAAGCAAGTTCTCAAGCTTTACTGGAGCTGCTTTTGGTCACATGACCCTCTGTCACCACGACTTTTTTGCTTAAACACATGTGACACCAAGACTTCTTCTTACATTGCTTCTCTAGGGTTCAGATGACAGCACAAAACATCACTTGTCAAAAAATAGCAGATATTAAGAACGTGGGCGTTTATGTTCATAATAACAACACGCACTTTTCGGGGTATGCCACCCAAAGTAGCATTTTTTTTTTCATTTAATATGGTCCCCTGGAGAGTTAGCTCAAAGTCACACGCTTAAAAATCTTTTCAAAAGAGTGGTCAAAATCGGTTACTTTGACAGTTTAGGAACTGTCTCATGCCAATTAAAAAATTTTATGCCCAACGATTTAATGGTCCATGAAGCAATTAAATGTTAGCAATCAGTTTACACTTATACACACACGCATCCACGCACATGCACACACACGAGAACTGTGACAAAAGGATTAACCAGATTAATTTTGTGACTGTGTTCTAAGAGAAAAAAATCCCAAATTTGAGGTGTTATGTTCAAGTAAGTATTTAAAAATGCAGAAATAGTCTGATCCCACTTGATTTTATGATCATAAGAAATCATACTTGTTTAACTGGAAGTTCTGGGGTTAGTGAAGTTAACTCCTAGGGCATAAAATATTCCACAAAAATAGATCTATGATTTTTTTGCAATGCAGTGCTTGCTTGTTTGTTATTTCTTTTAAAAATCTTTTGCGACGTTGTATACTGTGGCATTGCAAGAGTCAATACTTTATAAAAGAAGTAAAAGAATAATACCAACTGACTCACTTTTCCTGTCTTACACATTTTCAATCAACACCACAGAGGAGGCAGATGTAAACAGAGTCCTTTACATCCCGCAAAGACTAGAATGTGTTACTATTGCAGCAGATGCTGTTTGGCCCCAATCAGGAGTAGAAGAGAAAGCAATTTGTTTGGTTTGCTTTTTAAATTTTGCTTCATGGAGATTTTAAAAGAAGAGTTTTACTAGTTCTTGGCAATCAGAGGCTCTGTATTTATAAATAACCAATGTGGGATTATGCTTCTCCAATTAGGCCATTTACTATCTAATGTCTGACAGCCAGATGTGGAGAGCTTTCAAAGTGCTCTGCTAAATTTCATAGACTCCGTTCTAGGAAAAAAAAAAAAAAGTACTCATTACCAGAGTTCTTTGTGTGTTTCCAACTGACTCCTGATTATCTTAAGCTACTGAAATACTCAGGTTTTCCATGGACTGGTTGACCCCTCTGTCCCTTTCCGCTGAAGAATCCCAACACCAGACTTCCATCAGAGCATTACCCACTGACAGCCCACCATCAGCATGAAAGCCTGCAGCAAAGAATGCTGCCCAGCACTAGTGACATGTGGGTAAAGAAAATGAATAATCCCACTACCCCGCTCAACGCTTATAGGGATCTGTGATTGAGAGGAGAGGGAGCATTGCCTGACGTGCACCTTGAACATTCCTGCAGGTTGCTGGCAGCCTCTCTGTGAACCAAAACTTAAGCCATGGGCAGATTGGTGTCTTATTATTATTTTTTTTAATCTGAGAAGAATTAAAGTATAAAGAATGAACAAAAAAGTCATATGCTAAAAATAAGAAATCAGCCCCATCTTGGCACAGTTCTCATGCAGAATATTGCACCCAGTGTTAACTAACGCTAGAAGCTTCAAACTGTATAAATTTAAATGTTTTTGCATATTATAAAAATAAAGATAAACATATACATATTTTACACTAGTTACGGAACAGCAATGAATGGTCAGTCGATCCTTCTTTCACATTTAACAGAACTGAAATCTGAGTGCTCTAAATACTGCCACCTGTACTGGAACTATGGCTTATATGTGCACAGAAAACAAAATCCCTGAGAAGCCGTTCGACTTTTTTTTTCTTTTCTTCAAGTAGCGCTCTCCTTGGAGGATCACAGTTCTGAGGTTCAGGTTGTAAAACATTTGCTCCATATTCTCTCCCATCCGTCCCCCGCCCCTCCCACCTCATGTGCAGGCCAGGCGTGCCCCTCCTCAGAAAGCACCCTGAACACCTATGCACTCGAGTTCACGGAACACACTGGGAGTGTGGAGGGTTTACCAGGTGCGAAAGATGGTCCAGGTGAGTTCTTATGCTCTCTTTTCTCCACGGAAATTCCACAGCCATAAAAGTCACTGGTTTCTGTGCTTTTCACCAACGTTCTTCCTATATGGGTAGATATGAAGAAAGCACAGGAATGACAAAAGGCAATGACAGTTCTCAATTATAAGATTAGGAAGCAATACATTTGCATTGATTTTTACTTCTATTTCTAGAACTCCTTATAAAAATGTAAATGTCAGACAACTAATGTTCCTACAAAGGAAAGACTCTTTACTAGAAGATTGATCAAACATTTCTGTTTGTGATGTTAAATTCAGACATAACGAGGAGACTACATCAGTTAGGTGTAAGCACTTACTCCACTGTGATCTCACAGCTTAACTGGATTCCCGATTAAGAACCTCAAACTCTATACACGACACTGCTTCCTTTCAGGAAACACACAGACACACATAGAAATGCACTAAATAACTCTCGAGGAGTAGGAATATACACGAAAAAGTGAGAACGGCTGTCTTCCATCTGGACTAAAAGGCATGATTTTACTTAAAGAGTTGTAAGCAAGGCTGTCAAACTAAAATCTGGAGTTGGATGAATAGGAAGTGAAGAAATGGCTGCATCTTCAGTTAAACAAAGTGGCATTCAATTCAGACAAAATGGTTAAAGGAAAAAATGTCAAATGTCCCCAAACCTTATTTCAGCTTTTTTATAATGACATGCGATGTAATGTTTTAAAAAGTGTTTTAGCAGCATTTAATAAAACATACAAAGACACAAAGGATTTATGATCTACTTCCTTCACGTTCAGCCCTGTCTCTGCTAATGCTACCTGATTTTACGGGAACTGACAATTTAGTTTCTACCTAAGACATCTCTCTAGACCACACAAGAATTGGTCGAGTATAATACTAATAACAACATCATCAAAAATATGCACCTTCCATTTACTAAAACCTTAAACTTACTACACACTGGGAATAGCACCATTCACTGCAGTGCATTATTTCATGAATCTTCAACTCATCACAGTCCCACCAGGTAAGCTCCATCTTACCTTGCATCTTACTAAGAAGGAAAGCAAGGTTCCAAGAGGTAAAATAACTTCCCTGAGGGTACAGAGCCAGGCCTTTAGAAGGGGGTTATTTGACTCTGAAGCATGCTGTACAGGTTGGAATATTTGGGAGCTTGGGTGCCATAGAAACTTTCCTGTTTCTATGGCACTCAAGAATGAAGACTCTTTGAAGGCCTATTAATATAGTAAACTTGCCAGTAGAGGAAGTTTTGAAGACTGCCTCAAATTCAAGTAATAATATAATATATCAAACTAAAGAGGATGGCAGTGTGAAAACACATGTCTCAGCCAAACAGTTAACGCTGGTGGTGTGAGATGTGGGTTCATATGGGAGAAGTGCTATGTACGTTTTTTAACCGAATCTAAGGAACCTCCGGAAATGCAGACAGCTGTGGCTGGCTGTCTGCTCCCCTGAGCCACATGTAAGACTGAGAAACACAAGAATACCTAATCAAGGGCTTCTTCATTGTTGAAGGGAATATTCCAGTGTTGAAGGAAGTAAAAGGAAAACCGATTTGAACATAGTTCCACAGTGATACCACTTTTTGTTTATGCTCTTACAGAAAAAAAATATCCATCAAATTGCCAGCCTTTTCCACCTCTCACTGATTCCCCATCTCATAAACTTGCCCTTATCTATCAATCAAGATCCACCTCGAGTGCCTAGAACTTTTCCCAATTCTGGCTGGTATAGTTCTTTCTTCTTTGTGCCTACAGGTCTTTGTTGATACTCCTATCACAGCAAGTATCATATTTTAGTTGTAAATTAGACACTCACAAGATTGTCTGATTATATTTTTGATTCCCATTCTCTCCCAAAAGACCATTAGATTCTTGAGGGCAAGGTCTGTCTGTCTTAAGTTATTTCCACATCCTCAACATCTGGCACAATGTCTAGTCAAGGGCAAATACTCAACAAGATCTGCTGAATGAATGACGAATAAGATGTGATGAAAAAGTCTCAGGTGAAAAACAGATAAGCTACTATGAGTTCGCTACTATAATGGAGGTGTATAAGAAGTATTGAGGAGATGTGAAGAGTGACTGATTATAGTTGGAAAGGCTGGGGATGGCTTCTCAGCTTCTCAAGGGAAGTGGCATATGACTTTGGCCTTAGGGACGATGGGTCTTCATCTGGTAGGAGAGAAGGGGTGGCAGCCAGCTAAGGACTGAGAGTCAGCCAGGGACATAGTATAGCTGATGCCTCTCATAGTAGGGGAGTGTCACACATGTCAGCAGGGTGGTTAGGGTCTGATTGTGAGTCATGCCCAGGATTTTGAACTTGGGACTATACTCAATAGGAAGCCATTCAGGCTTTTAAATAGAGAGAGAAGTAACAGGGCCTGACATTGAAAGATAATATTGGTTTGAAAGACAAAAAGACTAAAGAATAGAGGCAAGCTGAAACTCAATCACAGGAATCTTGGCAAAGACAAGTAGGTCTAGGTGAAAACACAGGCAGAAGAGAAAGTTATATGGCCAAATTCGCTCATGTCAAGACAACTGATAAGATAGGATGACAGCTCTCAGTGGAGGACTGCATATGGAGAAGAGGGCAGTATTGAAGCTGACAGATCCTAGCTTCACAGATGGGTGCAATGTGCAGGCTGATGAAGAGCTTTGGGGGAGGAAGACTCCCCAGTAATTCGTACTATTAAGCCCACAGGACATTCAAGGGGGTGGCCATGCAGGTTGCTGGAAACAGAGGCCTGGAGCTGAAGTGAGAGGTCAGATGACCAATCCTTTCAGGTTATTGAACATGCATTCCTGGGATGAAGCAACATTATTTAGGTATTTAGAAATTTAGGCTAAAACTAAAGTCATATGACGTTGTATTAACTAGATCTTTTATTTTCTGTATTCTGAAGCTCTGACATCTGAGGCCTTGCTGACCCTAGAGGGACTGCCCCTCCCAGCATTAGCTAGTTTCTAGAGATAATAACTGGAAAGTGAATGTGCTTCTCAAATATAAACCAACTGATCCAAAGCCCACACCCCACCCGCCTTCCTTATCGGATCTCACAGTCTGAGCCACTATTCACCTGCCCTAAGCAAACACGCCTAAGGCATGGTACCAGATAACTAGGGACAGTCTCTATGCCTGACGGCCGGCTGACACTATTCAAAATGGCCCATCCTAAGCCTGTTCACTCTGCCTTGTTTCTACCCTCACGCAGAAGCCATAATGCAGGCTCCTGCCCACAGTCCGACCCTTTCTCTGCCTCATGACGGGTATTTCCCCGTGTAGCCCCCAATAGCACGGCATGCCCCTCCTCTAAGGAAATGCGAGTAATGAACTATCCTTTCAATGGCAATTGTTTCTTGATTTTTGGCCTTACTATACCTCCAATGTTCTATTAATACTAATAATGTTCTATAATTTAAAACAAATGGGCAAATAAGAACTTGCTGTGAAAACAGCACTGCGCCTGGGAGCCATGGCATGGATTTCAGGCCCAACTGTGTATCAGTCGCTGTGGTTGTGGGAACATGGTTCGGTCTCAGACTCCCTGCTCCTGGCCCTATGGGACTTACAGGGTTGTTGGGAGAAGCACGTGAGCCAGGGGGCTTCTCTCTGAGTTCATCCAGGCACAGTAGGCATTTGTGACTATAATATGAAAGGAACGGTGCCACTCATCTCTTTATCTCATGAAGACAGACAGGGTTGGGGCAACAATGTTTATTGAGTAACTGCAGGTGGCCTTATTAATAGATCTTCATATGTTCTGCCGTGATCCCTTCATGGTGGTGGAGGGGAGGATAAGCCAACATACTTGTCCAGCATTCACATATACCTTCCTTGGGCAGGTACCTCGATTAAGCTAAACACTGCTAGTAAGTCAGGGGATGAATTTTACTCAAGTATATTTATTTGTACTTTGAAGTTTCGTTTTTATTACTACCTTTAATTCCTAGTGAAATAACAGCAACTGAATTTATTGAGCACTATTTACTCAGTGTAAAGAGTAATGCCAAATGCTTCCCTGTACTTGTCTCTTAATGCTCACAACAACAACACGAGATCAGAGCTTCTGTAACCTCAATCTGACAGACGTCTACCTCACAGCACTAACGAATCCGAAAGATTCAAACTCAGGAAGTTAATTCCAGAGCCCATCAAACTGCCTTGAGAAAATAAACACAAACACTGCTTTTTAAAAGCTATTTGTTGTGCTAATCAACTTGAGTTTTCACTGATGTTATATTCTTGCATAATAGTTGAGTAAATTTTTTTAGATGACCTCTTTTTTTCCAACAAGGATCTGATTACAAATCTGTACAATGCTGTAGTAAATTAGGTGAAAGAATAAAGCCATTTCCTTATTCTTAATTCCCAAATGCACCTTGATTCCGGATAAGTAAAAGATTTGTAACCTTAAAATGTCCTGCTCTATCGAATTCTTCACCCCAAACACCTCCCTTTCCCCCTAAACTTTCCAAGTCCTTAGGAAGCCCTTATCTGTTTAAGAAACCCTCTCTGCTTCCCAGAGACTTACCCTTAAAAATTGGTGCTCCTAAAGTCACAGATTGGGCACAGTAAAAATGATGACATAAGGGAAAGAAGCACTATCTTTTCCATTTAATTTTCCAAGAAAGTATGGAGATACCTAAGCAGAGAGGGAACAAATTCCAGTATCAATGTGGCTGATGGAAGACTAAATAATCAAAGAAACACTATTCCTCCTCACCTGTAAAAGTTGCAAGGCAATGAGCTGCTTCACTCTTTGCAAAGAATAAAACAAATCAACGCAAATCATTGTGATACACCCCACAGGCAAACTGCATAGGTAGCCTTTCCCACTCTCCATGCTTTAAAAGTCTATGGTCAGTGAAAAATCCTCCATTGTGATAAAGCCAAATCCATCTCACTCCATTGCTTTTTTAAAAAATTATCAAGTCCATGTTAACTAATCTGAGTGCAGTTAAACATAATTTGCCTGTTTATTTAGTGAGATAAAGGCCAGAGTCTTCATCCCACTTTTTATTAAAGGCTATTTCAATTGGTCTTAAATATCCTTGTGTCAAAACA